TGAATTTAGTGTAAAATTTTCCTCTCCCCTTGCAATAATATAAGGTCTACAAGGGCAGAGACTTGTGTGTTTTGTTTCACTGCTATGAAACAGATATAAAGAACGTCTAAAGCACCCTGGTTCATAGCAGGCATGAAATAAATATGTTTTAAATTAATGAATTAGAGTTTGCATGTGTGAGCTTTGGTGTGATCTTTTCTCTGGTGAATTAGTGGCTGATTTCTCTGGGCAAAGCTACTCTAGAATCCAACTTAGCTCCTTAGAAAGCTTATAAGCTCTGAGTTTGAGGACAGTATTTTTTTTTATAATTCCTCTCAATCACTATGTTTACCCTTTTTGTTTAATTTAATACCTGATTATTTTGCCCCATTGTCTGTGCATTTGATGGTTGTATTACTCATTATGAATAGTTACAGTATTTTCATAATTAATCTTTCATTGCAATACTTGCAAAGCATTTCACATAGAAAATAATTTACAAATTAAACCCACATCTCACCTTGGATAATTATCACAGGTCTGACTAATGTGCATGAAACCTTTGCCTGGCAGGGGGCTCTCTCCAATGACAATGTGTTGATTTTCTAATTAACAAAGGTTAAGTAGTATTTCTGCTTGAAGATCTATAATTTAAACTTACAACATTTGTCACCAAGAAAGATTTTCACAGAGCGCATAAGTGGAACTCAAATAATTATCACTGGTTCTAGTGCATTAATGTCTTTTACATAATATATAATGACCATTTTCAGGACAAAAGATTTTTTTTTTCTTTGTATTGACTAGATCAGGAAAAGTACTTTCTAGCTCACTGACCCATTTAAATAAATCAGGGACCACCTAAGTAAGAAAAGAGTTTAATTTATTTAGCTTTCTTTTTTATAGAGAGAAATGACATTTCACACACTTGCTTTATAAATTAAGAAGGAGTACAAAACTTTATTTAATGGACACACAAATATAAATTACACTGCAATCATATATTATGGCCAGCTGAAAAGAAGGCAAAAAATTTTTTAAAAGTCAGACAGCAATGCAACAAGAAGAAGAAAAAAAGAAATTTAAGGGAAATTCAGAATAGTTGCTGAAATATAGAGAGAGAGACACATACGTACACTGCACAGAGAGAGAACTTATAAATCACAGGTCAGAGCAATTTAGAACTAAAAGAAATCAGAGACATTGTCTAGTTTATCCTCCTTTTTGTGGATGTGTAAACTGATGCTGAAAGAGATTAAGTGATTTGGTGGAAGCTACACAACCAACTAGAAAGAGTCAACAGCCCTGACACAAATGCAGGAAGAGTGACTGATAGCTGTAGAACCTGAGAAAGACCCAGGACCCAAGACGAAGGCAGAGTGAGAAAACTCTGTTCCCTAAAATTCCTTCTAAAATGAACCCTGTACACATAATTTTTTAAAAGTATATACACATGTATATGCACATGTATTGAAATTTTTACCTTAATGATCATATTATTACAGTATTAATAGAACTTTAATAAAAATCTGACCTTATCTAGATTTATTTGCTCTGCCAATTGACCTTTATTGAAGCTCCATTTTTTAATCACATTAACATTTATTTAGTCTTTTTAAAATTTCTTCTTCAAACAATCATTGCTGAGGATTCACTAAATATGAATTATTTCCAAATTAAAATAGATCACAGGTAGACTAAAGGCTAAAATATCGAGAGAAGCAAAATCACAAAAGTACTAGAAGAAAATACAGTTGAATAATTGTATTATTTTGTATTAGAGAAAGTCTTTATAAGCTTATTACCAAAGGCAGAAATTACACAAATATGATAGATGAATGTGACTACATAAACATTCAAAACTTTCACAGGGAAAAAGAAGCACCATATATGAATCAAAAGACACATATTGATGTATGTATTTGCCACATTTATAGCAAAGAGTTAAAGCCTAAAATATAGTTATCAATCAATAAGAAATATATTCTTTTCTATTCTCCCCAAAAAAGCAAAAGACATGAAGAAACAATTTTTAAAAAGAAAAGAGAAAACATAAAAATTAGTCCACTCACAGTATTTGAGGCAATGCAAATTTAAACAGTGAATTCCCTTGTTCCCCCAATCAACTAGATTGTCATAAATTCAAAAGAGTACTGACCAGTATTAAAGCTGATGTGGAGAAGATGGTAATCTCATATTTTAGTAGTGAAATATAAGTTGATAAATTCTTCTTAGAGAAAAATATATTTCAAATGCCTTTAAAATGTATGTACCTTTCATCATACCAATTATACTTAAAAGTGTACTTAATCAAGTCTAAGGAATCTATTTTAAGAAAAACTGGGCAAATGTGATAAAGTTTTTACAAAGATTTTATTATTACAGTATCATGTAAAATGGAAATTGGAAAAAGCTTAACAGCTCAATGGCATGTTAATGGAATAACAAAAAAGTGATAGGGCATTCACGGAATAGAATGCTATGCAGATAGTAAACAAGCTGCTCTAGTTGTACATTTATTGCTTGGAAAATGTTTCATGATATATTAAGTGTAGAAAGCAAGTTTCAAAATAATGTGTATATTTTGATCCCCATTTCTTCCCTTTTTTCACACATTTACAGATAAAAGTAGAAAAGGCAGTTCCAAGTGAAAGTAGTTATACCTAAGTAGCATTACACTTTCTCTTTTGTATTTTGCTTATCTGTATGTTTATGGTTTCCACGGTGAAAATCTATTACATGGATAATCAGATAAAAGGAGAGAAGGATATTTAAAAACATTTATTTAAAAATTTCTACATATTTTGATAGAATTTAATTCTTAATTGACCAGTGATAAAAATTTAAGTGACCAGGCATTTAGTTAATAAAAGACCCTTTGTAAAGCTCTTATTTCAAGAACAAAAGCCATAGTGGCCAAAATGATAGAAGCCAAATTGAAATTCTAGCACACAAAGAGTGACTAATGGGTTGAAATTCTTCCAAATCAAGCAAAAACCCTAATTCTCTTTAGCACAGAGGTGTGAAGCCCAGCTGACAAGCAGATGGCAAAATGGGAAATCCTTCAATGTGGTTGTTGTTAGCAGCTTTTTTTGCCACCTACTATACCATAACTTTGATTAAAAAGGGCACTGGACTCTCTTCAATTAGTTCTCTATTCAGTCATTTTATAAGAATGAAAACACTCCCTGAAGAATCACCATTCAAATCAATGTACTACCCAATGTGAGAACTGCAAGGTCCAGGTTTATAAAGACAATAGAGCAATTCATTTGCCATTTTATTGATGAGGATTTACAGTCATAAGTAGATGCTAATCCATCTCTGCCACTAAAACCTTTGACCTATCAGACCTGTCTGATGAGTCTACAAGAGTGTATGCATTTTTTTTCAGAATAATAGAATAAGTGATCAGAATCAGTCCTAGCCTACAAATCTTACCCAAATTCCAACAACACTGTGATGACTCCATTTTTAAAGGTATTCAAATCTGTATCTCAGAAACACATATATCTAAGGAGCCCCTGACCCCAAAATTTTTCTGTGTATTGGGTGGTCTACACAGAACAGAGTTTAAAACCAGAGAATCAGATATAAGAACAGATCTGCTACAGTTGCCACCTGGGAGCCATGAGTCCTTGAGTTAACTTCTTAACTTCTCTAAGCCTCAGTTTTCTCATCTGTACAATGAAAAGAATGAAAATAATAGTTACATTGACAGGTTGTTATAAGGATCTTGTGAATAACATTTATAGGATGTTTAATAGCGTACAGCAAGTAGTCCTCAGTAAAAAAGCAATTTAGGTTTTATTTTTATCAACAGCTTCCTTTTTTTTTTTTTTTGAGTTGGAGTCTTACTCTGTTGCCCAGGCTGGAGTACAGTGGCACACTCACGGCCACCCCAGCATCAACATGCTGGGCTCCGGAGATCCTTCCACCTCAGCCTTCCAAGTAGCTGGAACCACGGGCACGTACTACCACACCTGGCTGATTTTTGATTTTTGATTTAATGATTTAACCTCGGCCTCCTAAAGTGCTGGGATTACAGGTTGAGCAACAATATCTTTTTTCCTAAATCCTCATAAACTGTTTCTCTCAATAATTTTACCTACTATTCATTTTTTATTAATTTCCAGAAAAGTTGTTACTCTAAGAATCAAACATGTATGTAAATTTGAGTTCTTCTCTTTATACCAGCTGCTTTAAAAAAAATCATAGCTAAGAATATTACAGACACAATTAAATCCACGTGTAACATAATGCTTCAATGAATCTTTCTATGAAATTTGTTAGGAATATTTTCATGCTCATGAACCTCAGTCCAACTCTATAACTTACTCCAAAAATCACAGTGAACGTGCTCTTTGTGCTATATGTCTTGCAATGACATTTAAACAAAAGCAATGAAATCTGACCTAACCTAATAATAAATGTGGTAGAGATGACTTTGCGTAAAATTAATTCCAACTTCCATCTACCCCAGTCAAGAAACCCTGGATACCCTTAATGTGAACTTCAAAGCAAAGCATTTCATGAGACAAGAACCAAGATGTACAATCACATTTCAAATGGATTTATGCCTTCCAACTAATTGACTTGTTAACTATGCTAATGTATTCGTGTCTCTCTCCCTTTTTATATTTCTTTCCGGTAGATAATGCTATAGAACTGAATGTCGTGAGATTAAAGAGCAAAGAAACTAGAGATAACTATAAACCTCTTTTCTATAGGAAACTAAATTAGACTTCCAAAGCAGCTTCTATAATTTTTGTGCGTCTCCAAATATTTTATTTCTGTAGCAAATGTAGTGCTTCTCAGAAGCCAGCCTCTTTTAATTAGGCATGATAGCCTAAGGGAAAGAAGCTTCAACTTCTGTTTAGACAGGACCAACTTGAAAGTGACAATACTAGATGCACTGAGCAGTCTCGTCTCCCACCACAATTGTTCAAAACACGATGAATGAAATACACACGGTAGCAGTGGTTGTCCCATCTGAACTCTGTGCCTTCTGTCATTTCCAGGTGGCGCTGGGGGTCAGCTGGGCTTCCTGGGTTGCATCCGCTCCTTGAGGATGAATGGGGTGACACTTGACCTGGAGGAAAGAGCAAAGGTCACATCCGGGTTCATATCTGGATGCTCAGGCCACTGCACCAGCTATGGAATGAACTGTGAAAATGGAGGCACGTGCTTGGAAAAATACCATGGTTATTCCTGTGATTGCTCTAATACAGCCTATGATGGAACATTTTGCAACAAAGGTAAGGCAAAACCCATTTCCAGAGCCATCTTTACACATCTTTAAAGCCCAAACCATCTATTTTCTTAATCTGTAAACAAGCATAGTTTATTCTGAGGTTAAGACGATGAGAATTTTTCTCCCACCTTAGGTAGGAAGTTTCCGAAATCATTACCTAATCATGGCTTGATAAGAAGAGAGCAGTTTTGAGTGTGGTGCAGAATTTCCCCCAGATTTCAACAAATTATTCACTGACTGGAAACATTACAAAGCAGATAGCCTCATCACATCTTAATGATGAGTGACAGAATAAGTGGACTCTGAAAGGGGAATTAGGCCTGACCCTCCCCCATCAGGATCTCTGATCAACTGATTGATCAGTCAATTGCTGCAGTGAATCAGCCAGTGGTTTTGATGTCCCCACCCCTCTGCAGTTGCTGAGAGATTGGATTCAAGATATACTCACCAGACAGCTCTTTTAGTCAGTCCTTATCATTATCATCATATTTACTCTTACTCAGGATGCCTGTATGAGTGTTTCTCAGCCTAATCTGAACCATAGGAATACTGAAATCTCACATCTAGTGGGTCAGTTTAGAGCATCTGTTATTACTGTGTTATTTTTAGTCTTGAATAATTTCTTTAATTCCCAATAAATTCTGCAGAGTCAATGAGCAGAATACAAGAGCCCCAATGCATATGCATGTTTTCATTTGAGAGATACCCTCTGTGATCCTGCATGGCCAGAAGAAATTCACTCAACTGGTCCGGTGGTTTAATTTCCCATATGTAAACAAGAGGGATGAAGAGAACAGGAACTGGCACTTTCTCTAAGCTACAATTGAAATGCATGTAAATCACTCTTCTCTTTCTAAATGAAGGTATAGCGTTTGGGTAAAGTTTTCTGTGAATGGTTGGTGCATCTCTTAATAAGAAGCTTTACATAAATAGCCTATTCATACTCTCATGAATACATAGAGGGTTGTTTACACTGGCATTATTCACATGAGATGCCACATACAGAAGGAGGAATTGTTCCATAACGTTCTCTGTACATCCAGGCTACTGTCTGGCAGTGCTATAATATGAGCATACAAATTAGGGCAGACAGGGTTTGAAAAATGAGCATGAGACAACAACAAAGGTGAAAAGGAACACCATTGCTGAATACTACCATAGCACATTAACAGTGCTATTACAGTGCATTTTTCTGCTCAGAACAACATGGTTCCATGATTTTCCCGTGGCACACAATGGAATGGGCTTGCAGAACACATTAATTTTGTACTTGTAGAAATGACAGTCTTGCAATTACCATTCATTGTGCTTGATGCTAATTTAATGCAGTCATTTCCTTGCCAAAGTAATGTCTAAATGCAATCAAGTAAGCACTAATGCCTGAGAGATTCCATTACCTAAGTACCAATTTAAAGAAAATCACAATCCCCTTATTTTTGGAGAACTGGGTTAAACACAGTAGCTCACACCAAACCTCTAGAGGTTAATAGGCAATAGTCACGAAAAGAAAGGCAGGGGTAAATCCCCTTCAGTTTAGCCAACATTGCAGATAAAGTTAAATGGAGCCTACATGTTTCCTTTCACAGTATTTCAAAGGTTTACACAAAAGACATCTGAATATTCTCTTAATATCTATTTAGTAGGATGAGTTTACATTTGATTCAATTAGTAGCTTTAACAAAAAAATTAAAAATCACAATGTATATTTAGAAAACATTTGTGAGCCTCCTTCTGAGTCAGGTACCTTCTTGACCTGGGAAGAATGACAGTGGTACTGGTTTGAAAGAATCATGTGACCATCCAGGAAAGTTTCATCCACACAGAGCCAAGCTCCTTCATGTACCAGGAGTCTCTCCCTTCTGGGTTTTCCAGCCTGGTGCTGCCTCTGTTCTGGGCATGGCCACCCTGGTAGCCTGATGCCTGCACAGTCATTTCTGTGAACCCTACCTTACACTGATGCTACAGCCAATCATCTCGCCCTCTACAAGAGTAGGCACCTCATTGGCCAAGGAGTAAGCTCCATGAAAGACCTTTTCTGGTCCTCCTTTAACAATATAGGTCTATGATTGTGGATGTGGAAAGATGTTCATAGTATTTTGCCAAGTAAATGAAGCAAGTCCCAACCACTGCACACAACCTGATTAAATGTTTATACAAACTCCAAAATACACACACACACACACACACACACACACACACACACACAGAGGTGAGAAAAACAAACTAAGAATACACACCAATATATAAACTATGATTATTTTCTGCAGGAGGATAAAATTACCAGTATTTTTTTTTGGAATTTTGTTTTTGTCTAGCTATAATTTTTAATCTTTGCACATGATGTGCTACCTGTAATATCATCATTTTTTCTTCTTCTTTGGAAAAACAATAGTAAGAGGCAGAGTTCTTATCCCAGGCATTTGAGGGTTAATTATCTCTAGTCAGAAAGTAATTAGAAATTATTGTTCCATCTAGTCATACTATCTGGAGAGAAGGAGCATGTCAGGTGAAAATTTGATATACCTTTAAATACCTTTGAAAATCCATTTCTCAATACATTTAACAACCCATTTTTCCACAAGCATCAGAAGCGATCACCCTTTGGATGGGCTGTGGAGTAACGGCTGCCTTCATACAGGGATCAGGTTGCATGAAAATGAAAACTTTGAGGCACTAGTATCACACTCAGCCCTGGAAGAGGCTCAGCCTAGGACAGGCTTGGGATCTGATTAGTCCAAGGGGACAGATCAGACAAGATCTCTCCCCTGCATGGTATTAGCCCATCTTTTAAAAAAAACGGTGAACAAGTAGCCCAAACTATTTGAATTCTCCCTGGATTTTCCTCTTCCTCTGGCTTCTCATTCTCATCCTCCTCCCAACCCCCTCCATGGGCACACTCTTCATCTCTAAGTCAATCCCTATCTCTGTCTCTCCACATTCCAAATCTACTTTCTCTATCTCTCTTTCCTTTGCTTGAATATACAATTAAATTTGCAAATCAAATTTCTATGTACTGTCACTTCACTGACTGGACTGGACTCAGGCCGGTCCCTCAGGATAATTCTCTTCTGCTTTGTAGATGATACATTTATAGTCATTATCGCCTACCAGCAAAAATCATATTGTCAAGAAATTCCTGCCTGATGTCTCTAACCTCTTATCAAAAACTTCTTCCAGAGCCCCTGTTCAAATGGATTCATAAAGATTTGACCACCAGTTAAGGTGTTAGTTCTTCTCAGGCTATTTGCATCTTAAACAGGAGTGTTAATCGGGGAGCAATTCATATTTTAGAAACAGCACAAGGACATACTGGGAACCCTGCAACTAGACCATATAGACAGTCACCTCACATGTCTACAGATAACCGTGCACTATCTCCTCTTCTCAGAATGTTCTCCAACCAGCAGCAGTTTAACTCAGCTGAGACAGATCCATTCCCTTGGCAGCTCATTGGTTGAGGCTGTGGCGGCTTCTGGAGCAGAAGATCACCCTAGCCTTTACAAAAGGCTTCACTGTGGGTCTGTCATCCTCAGCATTATCAGGGACCCAGTGGAAAATTGCTTGGTCATGCCAAAGATAGTTTTCTCTAATTAGAACTATTCCTTCTTATTCAAACCCCAAAACACTCAAGAATTTTATGATTATCAATGTCATTTTTATGACTGACCAGAAATTGGAAGCATAATCTAAAGCATAATCTCTCCGTGTCTTCTCTGTGCTGTTAAGCAAGAGGGAAACAGACCTGCAGTAGCCACAGCAATTTTCTGTTTAATTTCTGTGGTTGAATGCTGTGGTGGGTCAAATAGTGTCCCCTCAAAATTCATGTCCACCCAGAACTTCAGAATGTGATCTTGTACGGGAATAGAGTCTTTGCAGATGTAATTAAGTAAAGATGAGATCATGCTTGATGCGGATTTAGGACCTAAATCCGATGAGTGTATCCTTATAAAAAGAGGAGAGGGCATGGAGAGAAACACAAACACACAGAAAAGTCCATGTGATGATGAAGGCAGAGACTGGAAATATGCTACAAGCCAAGGAACACCTGAAGCCACCAGAAATTAGAAGAGGCAAAAATGTATTCCTATCTAGAGCCTTGGAAGAATTGTGGCTTTGATAGAACCCTGATGGCAGACTTCTGGTCTCCAGGACTGTGAGAGAATAAATGTGTGTTGTTTTAAGCCACTCAGCTTGTGGTTCATTGTTATGAAAGCCCCAGGAAGATGATACAAGTACTAATAAAAATCTGCAGGCTTTTTAATTCCTGCTCTTAACAAGGGTAACAGCTGGCATTTATTGAGAACTTACTATGTGCTAGGCAGTATGCTGCCCTCTAATTGCATTAGCATCGTTTAATCTGTACGGCAGCCTGGTGAGATCGTTATTATTATTACTGTTCCCATTTGTCCAGAGAAGAAAATGGAGATACAAATAGTTGTTATTTGTTCTATGATTCACATATTAGGAAGTGGCAAGAATTCATTTCCGATAGTTGTATAGCAACTAAAATCTGAGTCCCTAGTCTTGAAGCTTTTTGATGATTGAGTTCAAAATTAGAATATTACTGGATGCATAGTTTATCATAAAAAGAAATAAGATAGAAGGTATGAACAGGGAGTCTTTTTTTTTTGCCACATTTATATGTAAGGTATATTTGTACATTGACTTATTTATTTGACAAACATTCATTGAACACCTATTATACCTGGAACCCTTGAATGTGTAGTTGAGTCTAACAACACCAAAATTTTCAAAACATTTTAAAGGTTTATCAATACAAAATCAGGAAATTCTAGACTATATAATAGCCATAAATGTGAATTAGATGTCACCCAGGCTGCTGAAAACAGTTCTTCATTATGATTCCATCACTGAGCCAAGTTTCGCAAGAACTTATCATCAAGAGGCACAAAAATATCCCTGATTTCACTTGTCTGCACTTTTTTCTACAAAATTTTTATGTTCATCTGCCAAACCAAAACTGCAGCTCAAAAATGCATATCT